CACAACTTTCATATAGCCTATCTCTGAAAAAAAACCTTATTTTTGCCTATAAAAAAGTGCCAATAGCATTCAGAGTACTGTCCCATATATGGGATAAGGCTTACTTTCTCAGTCCGCGGGTCGTAATAGAATAATGCATTTCCTGGCAAATTGCCTTTAAAACCACTTTAAGACCACTAAATGGCACTGCAGTGAATGGCCTTGTTTGCTTTACTGTGCTGAATCTTTAAAGAATAAATGACAGATCTGAAATTTGAAGTAATTATTGCCTACTCTCCAATGATTTCACTCTGTATTTTCAATAATGTTGCTCTATCCCCACCATATGAAAAATTTTACTTCAATATAATTGAAGTTTAAAAAAGCATTACAGAAAATACATAACAAAGTTGTGTCCTACCAAGTTTCTTCTTAATGGCTTCTAAAATACTGTCAGAGTCTCGCAGCATGCAAGGTGTGGTGGTGCAGACCTGAATGTGGTATTTCCCGACAGGTTTGCGGTTATACATTGTGTAGAAGGTTGCTACTTCATACACTCTCATGGGAGGCATTTCTAAAATTTCAGCAACCTGTAACAAGGGGAAAACACACACTATATATGGAATTCTCACAGGGCATCAGTAAACGCATTTAACAAACCATTTCAGTATAGCCAGCTGTCCTGGCTGCAGTAATGGATGGGTATCAAAGCACAGCTGTATTCAGGTGCCCAGAAAAGACTCCCGAGTTACTCTGGAGTCACCCTGCTCAACACAAACTCTGCTAAGCCATGGATTTGCACAGCGAGGCACTCAAGTCGATTCCCTCTGGCATCTGGCATGATCCACAAGCTAGATGTCAGGAGTCCGCTGGGTTCCAGCTTTTGCTGTCAGTTCCAGCTCGTACCGCGCTTCTGCTCTTCCGCTGTACGAATGAACGAACTTGGGCACATCTGCCCGCACTCGCCCACGTGAGCCTCTGGGCAAAGGAATACTTACAGGCTGATACTAGGCTCACCTGCTTCAGATACAGCAGGTCTGTCTGCAGTTCTGTGACACACCACGGCTACATCTGCAGATGTGCGTCACAGCTAATGAATAGGGAGTGAGGCACCATCTCCATGGAGCCAACTCTGGCGCAAGTATCCCTGACCTCAGTAACCGGGAGCCCTGGCAAACCACTCAGGTTGAGAACCGGCTCCATTTTTGGAAGCGTAACTGTTTTATGTTCCACTCTCTACAGCAAGCAAATAAACCACAAAGTATTGGTTCACTATTAAAAAAGAACTTAGGATAATTTTAAACATAGCATCAATCTGAAACTTAGGAGTAAATAAAAATACTTTTCCCATTCAGTATTAGTGGCGATTTGAGGCTTTACGCTACACTGCAGAAGCAGTAGCAGACCTAAGTTGCCCTTCTCTAAATACAAATTTAACTCCTTGAGTAATTTCTGTGATGTTCACAATCCCCACTTAACATACCTCGATTGAATTAAAAACTTCTCAATTGAAAAATGATGATACGCCAGACTGTGGCATGAAACGGGGTGTATGAATATAAACCAGAATTGTTGATTTCTTGGTATGTGATTACTGCCATGCAGCCTATCACTTTGGAGCAGTGTAGTTGCTTGCTTATTTGGAAACAGTTTTAACAAATAATTTCATAAGCCTTCTGGGCACTTGCTGTGCGGCGTTAACAAGACACCAGTCATGCAGACCACGCCGACGCTGCTTTGCGGAAGCCGTTACAGGCCTAGAGATGAAGTACAATCCTGGCAGTGTGTCTAGCGCCACTAATCCGAGAGGAGAAAAACTCCGCCATTACCTTTTTTTCTTTCCCCAAATTCAGCAACGAACAAGGTCTTTCCGATTTCTGTTCCTACGTGCAGGATGATTCTGGGGAAAAAGCCTGTCTAAATAAGGCTCATGTGATTTTGGTTTTGCTCTGTAGTTTCTAGCGATGCGCTAACATTACGTAAACAACAGAACCCAGGAGTTCCCCAGCTTAGATTTCCCTTCTATTGTTTTGAAAATATGGTCTTAAAGGGAATTCTCACAATTCTGTGCCACATGCATGCTTTGAGAAATAAACACTAATATTCTACTAAGAGATTTAAAGAACACAAGAAAACTATGCTTGAAAGATAATTAAGTACTAAATACCTTGTTCATAGCTGATATGGGCAACCATCCATGCTGTCTTTGGGCCAAATCTAGTACTGCCATGACAGCTGCAGACTTGTGTCCCCCTGGGTAGTTGTTTACGATCGCTTCTATTCGCTTTTTGAAGGGAAAAAGAAAAAAATCAGTACTGATCTAAAGACAAAGTCTCTGTATTTAACTATTTCTGTCTGCATACCTTTTGGTTTTCAGGTGTGAACTCAAACGGAGTATCTGGATTATTTTCAGGACTATCTCTGTGCTTCAGGAAAACAAAAAAAAAAACCAACACGTGAAAACGGGGTTGTCAGGAAATGACTCAGGACAGATTTACTGCTGTAAAATATCTTCTCTATAGACAGTTACAGCTGAGCTGCTTAAATAAAACTGGTATATTCCCGATAAAAGTTTCATAGTACTTAATTGTAAACGATTAAATATCTCTGGGAAAGTTACCAAAATACTGGTAATTATTTCATCACTATAAATAATGACTTAATGCAGTTATTTCCTATTCAAAAATACTATTTCTTGAGGAATATGATGCTGTTATCAAAATACACATTTTTTAACACAGTTTAGCCATTAGGTTCAAACTCAGGTAGATTAAGAGTCCTCTGGTTAATACCTTAACAAACAAGGGTATAAAACAACAGCCTTTTTTTTTTTTCCCCTTTTCCCATGATACATTAATGACAAAAGCTAAAATTCATGAAGAAGCTTGCTATATAACAAAAATGTTTGCACATTCAAGCACACATTATTAACCAATTTTAACATATGCTCTTGATTTGTAGAGGATTTCAACACTAATTTTGGATGTAGCTCAATCAGAGTGGAAGAAGCACAGCTTTGAATTAATATTTCTAAAATATTCTATCATATTATTAAGGTGGTCTTCTAGGGAAACATCAAATTGAAATTAGTTCTTCTATTTTCAGAAAATAAAAGTTTGCAATTCTTGAAGAAAAGGGACATTTTCCTATAGTAAAATCTTAGTTCTGACAAAAATCCGATTTGCCAGAAAAACTGTCTGCATAAAATCTTCAGTTATCTCTAAGAAGCTCTTATGGTATCCTCAAAATACTCACAGCTAACTTTCATTCCAAACTTTGTATAATATACGGTTTTCGATTGAGAAAGTTTCAAAATAATGGAAGAAGTTTGGGGAAGAATGCAAGCTGGGCCTGAAGCTTAGTGTTAAAAGTATCCCACAAAAGGCTAATAAGAGCTTCAAAACTATATTTAGGAGAAAGAAACCCACTCTGTTGACTTTTGCTTTCATAATTTTCTCAAGTAACCTAGGAGGATCCTGCAGCTTCCACACTGCCTTATCAAGCAGCAAAGGATTTAATGAAAAATCTTCAAGATACTTGCATACTGAAAAACTCTAGTCAGTGCAGAATTTAATAGATGTATGGTTCATAGCTATTCCTGGGTTTAGAAACTTCATTGCCGAAGTACTGAAAGGCCACGTACTTCAGTTACATCTGCTGGTCTAGCAAGAGATTCCCGTTCCTTACCCCGTCCATATCCTGGAGCAGACAGTACTACTGCCACCATCAATTTGAAAGCCTGTGCCCCTACTACCGTTGCGAGTCAAATACAGGAGAACAATCACTATCGACTTTTCCAAGGCTCACTTTCCCCTAATAATAGGAATTACAGAAATACAGCCAATTCCCTTTAAACACACTCATATTTTATTAAGTATGAATTTATTGCTTATTGTACAGTCTACAAGATAACATAAAACAGCTTTTAGAAACATAATTGCCACTGGTTTAGACTGACCCTTCCAGATAAAGATTTGCCTCCTAAATACATACTGTTGGTGAGGGTTTTCTACCAATTTCAATGAAAGCTCTCAAAAAAAAAAAAAAAGAGGCTAATGGAGTAAAAACTGATTGGAAATACTGCGCAACTCTTAATTTTTTTTCCCCCTTACAGACCTGTTCTGTGTCTTAACTGCACAGATCAAATCCATGATTCATGGTCATTATTTCCAGAACTTAACTTTTCCTTCTCAAATCTTTCTGCCTGTTTTATGTCAGGCTGCTATTTTGCTTTCCATAGCTATTTGATACAGTTGCAACTTTACCTGACCTCAATTTCTGCTGCAAATAAGTATATTTGATTTATTAAAATCTCCCTCTTTGTCTAGAACAGCTGTTGTTCTCAGTGTATCGTCTCTGAACCGATACCCTTAAATACCTTACATGTGAAGAGGAATAATAAAAGCTATATATCTGAAGCTACGGTTTGCACACCATCGGTTCTGTGCAGAAAAGCTCCAGCATACATTGTAAAGGCACGGATAAACACTAAATAAGGTCATGTCACCACCTTTTGGTTTGCATTTTCCTAAATGGGTTTCATCTAATTCTGTCCTGTGGAGAGTTTTCACCGAGAGCTTACGGAGTTCTAGGCCTACTGAGTTGTTAGGAATCAATCTCTCAATCACACATTCCCTAGTATTCCCTTTGTCTGACAATTCTGAGACTTAAAGGAGCCGATTTGCTCCTACATTACATCAGTGCATTTCTGTTGCCTTTTTAGGATACAGATTCTGCAGAAGATCAGAATTAAGGACAGAGTGTTGGAAGGAATACTGTGTTAAATCGCAGAGCGGCCAAGGTTGGAAGGGACCACTGTCCAAGTCATCCGTGCCAACGCCTCCCCCTGCCCCCCTCCCCGGCTCAAGCAGGGCCACCCTGAGCTGTTTGCCCAGGACCATGTCCAGATAGCTTGTGAGCATCTCCACAGCCTCTCTGAGCAGCCTGTGCCATGGCTTGGTCACCCTCACAGTAAAAGTGTTTCCTGATGTTCTCTGAGGCCATTCCCTCTGGACCTGCCACGGGGCACCATGGAAAAGAGCCTGGCTCTGTCCTCTTTGCACCCTCAGGTATTTGCGTACATTGGTAAGATCCTCCCTCCCCGAACAGTGCCAGCTCTCTCAGCCTTTCCTCATATTAAAGGGATGCTCATAAAAAGAAACCAATATACTAAGGCTCCATACACAAACTAAGGACAAACCGTTATGTCGGTACCAACCACAGCAATCTATTGAAAAGCCAGGTCAAACTCTACCCACACATTTTTTCCCCGATTCCCTTCTCGTGCTCCCCAGTTTCCTCAAGTCTTATACAGTCTGTTTTCACTCCACACACTGCCTGACCGTGTCACGTCTATATTGCAGCATTCAGCCTCACCAGCCTCAAGTGCAAACAAGCGCATGGCAAAGGCCTTCCCAAGCCAGGCAGCCCTCACAGATGATGGGAATACCTCCCATGGAAGGTACTAAGGCTGCTGAATTTCATCTCCCATTCCTTTTGCTACACCAACCCGCGCCATTCTGTTACTCTTTTCCAGTGATCTAATAATCTTTCTTGACACCGAAAATTATTAAAGAACACTGAAGAATCACAATAGAATAACTAGAATAACTCAGCTTTCATGTACACTGTAAAGACATTGGCCTGAAACTTGACCTATGCCCTGTGGTACACACCAGCCCAAACCACTGTAAACCAAACCTAGAGAACTGTGTGGTCTGCAGGGGAAAAGATGTTTACAGCAACAAACTTCTAAGAGTCCGTATCAAATCAGCAATGAAAAAGAATATTATTACTTCTCCTACAAGGGCGAAGTACCCTACATTGACAATTCCAGCAGAACTCGAGATACAAACTTCTCAAATCAAGAATGGTGGAAGTGCTCTCAGACCCAAGTATTTCACTGACCATACTCACAAGTACCTGTAAGATAGCAATTATCTAACCTTCTGCACTGAACCCCACAAAACCCACATCAGGGCAGTTGATGCGTTAAGGACACCCAGTCCGTGCGTTGAAAACAACAAAGTAGAGAAGTTACCGTTTAGCTATTAAGGAGGCTAAAGACAGGTAGGAGTCAAGGATAAAGAAGGCATGTTTAAAGAAAGAAAAGGAGCTACTGTACAAAAAAGTATCTTTGAGATCAGGCCTTCCCTATCCATCAGAAATATGGCAGATTTGGAGCAGCTCTCCGAGGTTGCTGCAGGTAAACAATCTAGCTAGTTTTAAACATGATACACTCGTCCTGGAAGCGTGATCTAGCTGCCTGTGATGGCACCAGGATGAGTTTAACGGCCGAGAAAGTCTCTTCTTGGCTACCTCAGAATAAAAAGGAGTTTCAGTACAAGTTTTCTTGTTTCTGTATGTCTCTGATAACATGCAAGGAAAAAAGGTCCACGAAGAAAGTTTGCAAAGGGATAAAAGGGCATGCAAAACAGTACTGCCTTTTAATCCTGTATTTCAAGAGAACCAGGCCCCCTGCCAGGCTGCCTCCTCGTGTTACATAACAGCTACACTGTATTCATTTCCCTTCCTTACATACAAATTGTAAGGAAGGGAATACATGGGAAGCACAACCAATACCCTCCACAAAATAACTGCAAGACACATGTGTGTAAACCGACATACACAGGACACCACAACAGGTTAGAGTTACTCCCAGGTGAGCCTGCTATTTATCCACAAGCAGGTCTGAACAACCTCTGACATTTCATCTGCTTGTAATATTCCACAAAACTAAGACTTTAATGTTGGGGGTGGGGGGATGTCCCTAGAGAAATCTGGGGGAAGAAAGTGAATCATAGAATCACAG